AAAGAGTGTCCCAAGCTGTAAAAATTAATCCAATATTGTTGAGTGGGTATATGAACAAAAAGAGGTCTTCAAACAAACTGATTTTTATAGTCTTTTTATTTCTAACTTTCAAGTTAAAAAAAAAATGCAACTAATGCACTATGGGTTAACTAAACAGTAGCAGTTTCTATTTTCAGTGTGTAATACATGGAAACTATTTACAGAATGGAAGTCAAAAGATCCCTTTAATATTTTGTATAACAAGTAGTCATTTGCTGTCCCTCACAGAGGCTGAAATCTTCTAAATAACAAAGGATTTGGTATGCTTGAAATCCTAAATCAAGTAAGAAAGGTAACGTAAGTAACATTTCCAAGACTGTACACAGATTAACATTCACTGTACATTTCAGAGGAAACTAAGACATACAGGTCAAAAAGAGGAAGTTTGCCCGAAGCAGTGTCTGTATCAGTTAATATGTTTGCCTTTCTGGAAAGGGAAATTTGCAGAATTCACCTCTTGCACAGAAGAGAAGTAGGACTCTATTAAAACTATTAAAGAAGAAAAAAAACTTGCACGGAACACTCGATGGAAAGCTGTTTAATGCTTTAGTTGCTGGAAGTGAAGCATTCACTAAATTGTGAGTTTAGAGTGAAGGGCTTCAGTTAAGATGACCAAACCAGACACCATTCAGAGCTACTAGCCCATCTCAGTAATTTTCTTCTATGCATCTAGTATGCATAAGGAAGTAAACTTATGCTATATATTACATGTACTGTTTTCTAATTAAAGAATGGGTTGGCTTTCAGAGAGCTTTTCACATGGCCTTAAACCATAAATGTTCAAATTAGCTTGCTCCTAGCTGAAGTTTTAGTTAGAACTGCACTCGTACTGCACCATTTTGAAAAGCAGGAGCAGAGACCTACATAAGTCCCTTAAACTCTCTCAACTAGGAAGGGACAAGAGTTAGACTTCTGTACTCTGTATTCTTTTGCTTGCCCTGGTGGGATGATGGGAGACATCAAAAGGACAGGGAGATGCAGGAGGAGGAGGAGGACTAAGATGAGCAGGTAGAACATGTGGTCAGGGTGGTGAAGGCAAGTCTCAAATTGTGAAGTATATAACAAGGTGCTATAGTTGTGGGTACTTTAGGAGACTGAATCATAAGTCATAAATGAGGTATTCTTTGAGTACTGGTAGCATGTAAACTTGGGGGTAGGTAAACTTGTGTCTATAATGGTTTTGTAAAGGGGTTTTGAACAAGCTAAAACTTCTGAAACACTACTGAATACAAGATACTTGCCTTTTCACTTGTAGATTGATAGTTGAACTTCTTTCTGTTGATAGAACAGAATAGGAAGATAGGTTAAATAGCGACTTTCTGGTTTTAGTGTTAGCCTCTTGAGAAGTTTATGAATGTATTTGTCTTGATTGAGTTATAACTCCACTGAAAGCTTTTTATACCACTGTTACTGTCTCATGAACTGCCATCAAGTTACCTTCCCTGACTTGTCATTTCAAGGCTTGCAGTTATGCTGTCTAGTTCACAGATACTGAGAGTATTTTGAAGTATCTGTTTTCACCTGCAGTTACCTGCAAGTGATATCATTAGCTTTAAAAACCCTCCTCCTAGCCTCTCACCTCAAAAGCAAGGCCAGCATTGAACACCACCTACAAGTTTAACCTTGTGTGAAAATACTAGAATAGACTGAAGAATTCTTAGTAGAAAGTCAGAGAAATCTAGAGAGGAGAGCTTTACATAAATGCATCTCAAAGAAGAAGACGAGGTGACCTTAAAGTCCTTCCCTAATCTTCACCCCCCCACCCCCACCAATGGTTTCCAAAATATTCTGCAGATACAGGCATGAGTTCAGTTTGGCCCTCAACATCTCCTGTCCTCAACTGGCCAACAAGGTGGTTAGTACAGATTTAGTAGTAATAATGTTTATTCATTCTCTGACCAGTACACCAGTTCTAATGAAGAACCCTGATCCTACACAGCAACAGTTTCAGTGTGAGGCCTGTAGAAGTACCATATAAGAAAGACTTTAATGAAGAATCACAGTTACTAAATCATCAGAAGTGTAACTGAAGTTTACAGTAGCTGGCATAACACTTACATAAATATGAGGATACTTACTGGGAAGAGCTTTCCTCTGAAAAAGAAAAAAAAAAAAAAAACAGTTATCACAAGAATAGGTTCCTTGGCTGATTTAACATTTTCTGAAGTATTTTCTCATGGCTTCTTCAGCTCTTTAGTTTCTAGAAACAGTTGCTGAATTGAGTTTCTCTGTGACAGTGAGTTTACCAGAAAAACTGTCTAGGTTGTTTTCAAAAATGATTTAAATTTAGTGCATGTGAGTTTTAACAACAACTCTGTTGGCCAGTCCCTCTCTGGCAATAGACTGTCTCGGACAGGGACATTTGGGCATCCCTCTTCGGGCTTGTGCTGAACCCTATAGGTGCTAATATAAATGCTGTGGGGAAGTTGCTCTGTCAGCCACCGCCTGTGGTGCTCCTTAAACGCAGGTTTTCTCCACGTGTACTTTCACCATAACCCAGAAGAGGGAGACAGTAAGTTCACCTCAGCACAGCTGTTACAAGGTCACTGGTACTGCACAGTTTGAACAGCTAGAGGTTGCTTCTATGGTGCCTTTATTTGCAAACCCCTCAGACTAGGACAGAGAGGCACTAGGAGGCTCTGCTCAGTGCTCTGCAGCGACTTAATGCCTGGTATCCTGAAACAACTGAACAACTGCACAAACATCACCACTCTTAATGCTTCTTCTGCATAGAAGTGGAAAAATTAAAATGTCTGCAGAATAAAGATAAAGCTTCAGTACTCCATATAGCTTTTGTACCACGGATTTAGGACTTTCATGAAAAGGAAAACATGTTAAAATCAGCAGAAATACAACCATTTTTTTGACACAAGGAAAGATTAACTTTACTTACTTCCAAAGTAACCCTTTTTCTGGGCATAAAATACTCCAAGGCCACATAATGCCATTACCAGAGCCACAAATACCACAGCAGCAATGATACCACTTACATTAAGGTCATCTGTAATTATACAAAGAAAATCCAATTTTATAGACTGCAAAAGTTCCACTGGTTAGATATTCTCCATAATTGCTACAGGCACTATTTGTAGTAATAGGGGGACTTTTGCCCAAGCTGTGTACATAAGTTGTGAACAATCAGATATTGATGAACAGTCTGAAAGTGTTTCTGCCATCACATTAACTTCCTTACTCCGCATCAAAAGCAGAGAAAGAATAAAAGATGTCAAGAGGTGCATACGTCTTCTTTTATCTTTCCCAAAGAAGAAATATTCAAGTCACATGCCTTTAAGAGCCAATATCTTGAATTCTTTAAAAAGTTAAAGTCTATTACAACATGTGTTTTCATAGAAAGGTAATTTAACTAAAATAATAGAAACAGCTGATGGCAGTGTCAGGACATAATCCTGAAGAACTCTTCACACTGATGAGTTATGTAAAATTGAATGTTTTTTATTTTTTAAAAATAAGGCTTTTACAATGCAACACGCTAAGGCTACAAAATATTTTAGTCTAGATATCTGAATTTAAGTCAGTTCTGCTATTGAAAAGTCTAGCCATTTTTGTTTTAAAAGGTGGTGACTCATGCCCATTTCCTGATACAATGCACAAGACCTTCAGGCAGTCATCTATTTTCAGAAGAACATCAATAAGCAGAAATATTTCCAAAAGTTTTGTTATTTGACCAAGTACGTATTTGAATCATAACTTCAAGCATACATTACCATATGGTTGGGGATTTTGCCTCAAAGCTTATCAATTTGTGTACCCTGGTTGAGAGCAGCTTAGGACTGCATGAGTATTTCTGCAGTAGAGAATTTTTAGCGTGCCTACTTGTTATATAAGCAAATAGCAAGACATGAAGCAGGAGTGCATTAAAAGCCTTGAGACAGTGATTTTCAACTACATTCTAAGAAAGCACTTGACAGCTGTTATATGGAATACCTTGACAGCAACATGTTTACAATATTAAGCCATTTTTGTTAGGATCTTTTAAAAGCTTCGAGTATTTTTATTATACCTTTCTTTCTTCTCCCCCCCCCACAAATGGGCAAGAGCTAGTTTTTCTTTTGCAGGAAACTCATACATTTGGGGTTACTACGAATTCTGCCTTTCCAGCCTCTGCTAAATTCTTCATTAACTAAGAAATATTACACTTTATCTACATTGTATTAGTAGAAGGAGGAGGCAGCTGGGTTTATGTGTGTTTTAAAGATGCACCAATCTTTTCAGCTTTCCTCTGAAAGGTATGAATCATTATTTTCAATTAAAGCTAGAAAAGTGCTTCTGATCTGCAATACTAAAGTCTCTCAGGAGCTGATCTCCAAAGGAAGACTATTCATAAAGAAAGAAAGCAAAAACCCACCACATGGATGGGCAGATTATGCTGCACAGCTTTCTTAAAAGCACTCTGATAAGGGCCTGATATGGATACTACTATTGTATGAATTTCAGTGTTTTGCAACTTACTGCAGTAAGTAGTTGCTCAATTCAAAGGTGCTCAACTAACTGCTTTTCTGTAAAATACACTGAATTCTGTTTGTGCTTTAAAAAAGATGCTTGAAGTAATCACCGTAACTAGGCACTCAAAACAAGAATATTTGACTATGACATTTTGGGGGAGGAATAGTAAAAGGATATAATTCAATCTGGTATTAGCTTTCTAGTTGCATCATACAATAGAATCATTCCAATTGCAAGACTGTTTTGCTTTGACATACCCACTTGCATTCGCTTCACTGCGCATTTCTGAGCTAATCCAATCCCATTGGAAGCCTCGCAGAAATACTCTCCAGTGTCATTCCTTGTAACTGTGTTAAATAGCTGTTAAGACAGAGTCCAAACCCATTATTAGAATGGAACAAAATTCAAAATTTCCCTTTAGATAGAAATTGAAATGTCACAGTGTTTTTCTTTTTCTTCAAAATTTGAAAAAAATGACAAATCCTGATCTCAGTTTGACTTCATCGTTCACTTCCCTAATCACATTCCTTGGTCCTTATCTTCAACTACTGATGCATCTATAAGACCATCTTGTATATTTCAGCTAGATAGCTAGGAAGGGTATCTACAGCATGTTTCTTTTTCAGGAAATCAATATATTTTCCCAATAAAATGCATTTTCTCCCTCCAGCTTTAGAATCTTTGGTATCAAAAGATTTTGTTCATTTAATGAAAAATGAACTATTTCAGTATGTGTAAGTTTTCCCATGGAAAAACAGACTGTTTTTTAGAAATAGCACTTTCTATGAACTATTCCAATGAGAAAATGCTGAATTGCACCATTTACCAAATATTATTGCCATGCAAAGGAAGTGATCAGTTCCAGTATTTTTATATATATATTTTAATAATCACATCTGATTTTTTTTCTCCTTTTCCCTCATATATCTGGGACAGAGACTACCTTAGGTATGTGTTAGCGTATGTTTCAGCATGACATTCATCTCAGATTAAGACCACTGTGCATCACTGCACTAAACATTAAAATGAGGCTTCTTAATAACTGGTTATTACTGTCTTACCAGTGTGCCTGACTTTTTATTCATGGTGTAAGTCACATTTGCTCCTCTCGCACCATTTTCCCAATAAAATGCATTTTCTCCCTCCAGCTTTAGAATCTTTGGTATCAAAAGATTTTGTTCATTTAATGAAAAATGAACTATTTCAGTATGTGTAAGTTTTCCCATGGAAAAACAGACTGTTTTTTAGAAATAGCACTTTCTATGAACTATTCCAATGAGAAAATGCTGAATTGCACCATTTACCAAATATTATTGCCATGCAAAGGAAGTGATCAGTTCCAGTATTTTTATATATATATTTTAATAATCACATCTGATTTTTTTTCTCCTTTTCCCTCATATATCTGGGACAGAGACTACCTTAGGTATGTGTTAGCGTATGTTTCAGCATGACATTCATCTCAGATTAAGACCACTGTGCATCACTGCACTAAACATTAAAATGAGGCTTCTTAATAACTGGTTATTACTGTCTTACCAGTGTGCCTGACTTTTTATTCATGGTGTAAGTCACATTTGCTCCTCTCGCACCACCTGTTCCCGTCTTTTCCAGCAAGGCAACGCCGTTTTTATACCACTGGTAGCTGGATGGAGGAGACCCCTCGTTTTCTTTACAGCTCAGCTCCACTACTGTTCCAGTCATTGCAGAGCTGGGTACCTCACAGATCGGAGTGGTTGGAGGAACTGCAAAATGAAAGGTACCCAGTCACATACATGCTGTCTGTGTGATAACTGATGATCAGAAAAGCTCTCGAGTACACTTCCATGTGAATGAAGTGAGAGGGGCTCTGGAGAAGGGCTGCTTCACAAGTCTTTTTCCTCCATAGCTTCCTGGGCACTGTGCAATGAGCACAAATCATGTCCCCAGGTTTTATTAGAGGATTCAGAGGAACTTAAGTCAGATTTTGCTATGACTATTCTTACTTGTTTGTCCCTTACTTGTTTGTGTTTGCAGGTACAGATAACCCTTTCTGCCACTCAGATGCAGGACTCCATTCCTTCTGCCATAAAAATGAAGCTCTTTTCCAAGTCTTTTTAAAATTATTATTTAATCATTTTTTATTATCACAGAAGTGTAACTTTTCTTGGCTGACATTAATGAACCATGCAGATCTATTCACCTTGCAGTTCTAATCTTACACCTGGGACAGTGAAAGGGTATGCTTCATATTCACTTCTTTCTCTCATTTCCCAAAGGTGAAATTTAAAAAAAAAAAAAAAGAAAGAAAAAAGAAAGAAAGAAAAAAAAGGTACTGTCTCTCCTGTAAATAAAGGTCACAGCTGGCATTGCCTAGAGACTGCAGCAGTTTCTTCTGCTAAAAGAGGAGGAGACTGTAGCATCTTGGAATAAATTGCTGCTTAGAAACACTTGATAAACTGACTGTCGACAGATGCTGCTTTTCCAGTGCCAAACACCATGATCAGCATATCTAGATTCTTAGCAACTTGAATGACATCAGTTTTGTTAGAAATGATAATCTCATAATAATATACATTAGAATACTTACTAAGATTATACATCTGCAATATACACTTATATCCATAAAAAATAGTTCGTTAACATTTTCAAGCGCCCAAAAGTTCACATTCCTCAGTCCTGTATTTGCAATGTGAACTATGAGAGAGAGAAAACAACCCAAAGAAACACACACTATAGGCAAAGAACCTTACTTTGAACACCTCCTGCCAGCCTTCCATTTCTTTACAGAAGCCCAAGTAGTAAAATTTGTTCCTACCCAACACTGTGAGCATAATAGTAGTCTCTCCCAAGCGTGCACCATGTTCACTTTTTGCACTAATTTCACAGCGGTAGGTCCCAGAATCCTTTCTGGTCACATTTCTGATATGGATTCCTGTATTTAGCATCTCTGCTCGGTCTTTAAGGTCACCTTTAAGAGAGAAAATAAAATAAGCCTTTTTTTCCGCCCCCCCTGCCAAGAGCTGCTCTCCTCACCTTCCCCACCCACCTCCTCTCCACTCCTCTCTCCCCCCAACCAGAAACATCTGTCTCTTCATCTTGTTTTGAAACAGTCATTTATGACTTATTGTTCATTTACTCAGTGGTAATTAACCATTACCAAGGGGCAATCTATCTAATTCCAACTCCAAGACAGTAAGAACCTTCCACAGACTGATCCACTTAATTCAAAAAGCTCAGCTCAAACTCTACATCTTTTATACAGTTTCTAGTTGGAAGATGGAACACTTTTTGCACACTTCAAGAAAACATGTAGAGCTGCAGACAAGTAGAAAAAAATAAAAAAGATCATTCTATGTTCAGAAAGATGGCAACCATTAATGCAAACCCCCTGCAGAATTCTGAGAGCAACCACAGCAAAATATTTACAATTTTAATGTAGCAAGAAAACTGGATAGATACAGCAACAAGAGTCATAAAAGCAATGAGGTTTTGTTTAGTCTGTAGCTTTTTGAGAGATTTCTTATATATATATATAGAAACAGGAGTTCTAATTGCTATACAGGAATAGAACAAATCCCTCAGCAAAAACAGTGCATCTTGCTAGCTCCGCAAACTAACAAACACCTGGAGCTTTATTTTACCTCAAGCTTCATTTATTGTATACAAGGTACCAGAGACCCATGTTTTCCTCAGTACAAAACATAATGTTGAAGTCAATCATTTTAGGAGCATATAAATAGAAATTTTACTTCTAAAAAGAGTACAAGCAACTTAAAACATACTTCAGAATTTTTATTTTATGTATAAAAAAGTTGCTGCATTTTTCATTTCTAAGCCTCCAGCTCTACAGGTTCCTTCAGAAATCTCTTCATAGGATAGGAGTGCAAACTTTGCACTAGTTTCAGGCGTTTATGCTTCCATGCAATTTAGTTTTTGGAAAACTTTAAAAAGCATGCAGTGCTGTTTTTCTTGGCCTCAAGGCTTCTTATATTTAACTTCATTAAAGAGGTTAACTAACCATTGGGGAAGGGGGAGGCATTTCTTGCCTCACAGGGCAGTTATTCAGTCCCAAGAGTCAAAAACATTCGCATTCGCTTATTCTCCCCATCTTATTGCCCAGGAAGGGGCCACGATTCATATCAGAGATGACACATTAAGGCACAGTCCAAGTTTGCAGTACTCTACCTGTAAATTCACCATTGTAATAAACAAATGAGACTTCCCGGGACCGGATTTTCTTCCATTCTATTCTTAGACTCATCTCTTTCGAAAATTTGTGCTTGCAGCTAAGAATAGCCTCTAGGAGAAAAGAAAAAAAAAAAGAAGAAAAAAGAGAGAGAGAGAGAAATTAAGATTCAGTAGTTTGCTACACATTCAGGCTCCATAAGTTTAATTATCCCTCTTCAAGAGGACTTGAGCAGCCAGCAAGAGCCAATTCCACTTCTCAAAGTGATGCAATCAGACCTTCTCCAGATTTACACATATGCAATGGGGAACAGAAATTACTAGTGTTCCCATATTTCAGTAGTCTTTGGATCAAACCTCAGGTGTTGGGGATGAGACATTTGCAGGTTTGGACGTGCAGAGATATCATCCTATTACCAGTGTCTTTTTTTTGGTTAGTTAGCATACTACAACTAAAAGAAGAGTCTGAGCTCATTCCTGTCAGTATTTTGTGAATTATTATTCTGAATTTAGTAACAATAGTTTGACCAACATAAAACTTAATTACACCAATACAATGGTTAAATATACTGGTTACTACTGGTTCGTACTGGCTATTTTGAAACATCATATACCTGTGCAGATCTGTACACTTGTCTTCACTGTCAATCATCCTTTCTTTAGGCTAGGAAGAACTGTGCCTACTATAGTTAAAGCACTGGAACCCATTGCAGGCAGTAGGATGATAGACCTGGTTATGCAAGTGGCAACAGTAGTGAGACATCCACTAACACCTGAGGTTTTTAATAATTTTCAGGACAAAGTACAGCAACAGGGGTAAGACCAATTAGTGACCACTATTTTGTTGCCAAGAGATAAGAAGCAGTGTGAGAGCGGTTAGCGTTCCAAATTCCTACAGCATAAAAGGGCAGAGGTAGTAAAGCAGACCCCTTTCCAGTAGGCCTAGAAAAAAATGGTGGGTTAATATAACATGACTGAGAACAGAAATCTTTTCTATGATTTGTGTTGGTTTTATTTTTCCAAACAAGGTGGAAGAAACCAGAACAATATGGGGCTTGCTACCTTTACACTGCCTATGCAACAGTAGGAGACGAAGTATCCTTGATTAAAGATCTTTTCATTTTTCATGATGTCAGCCTAGCTTTCAGGAGACGAACATCTACGCAATCTACATTAACCTGCGCCTGCGTTTCCAGTCTTGGCAAACAAGGCCAAGAGACGATTAAAAGCAACCAGCAGGTCTATCCATTCACCCTTTGAATCTGATTTTCTGCATCTGTTCTGTGGAGAAACAAAAGGCTTCAAAGGGACCAGGCTGGTAACCCTGGTGATGTTTTACACAGAAGAAATGTCCAGACTTGAAAGAAAAGTCAGGAGGGCGTTCTCTGCCAGAAACACGATCCGTGCACACACAGGCTGCTTTGCAAAACATGCTGCGCACTCAGGAAACCCAGGGTTCCTGACTGCAGGTTGAGTGGATGGGTGGAGGCTTCCTGAATCTTAAGATTTGCTAAAGTTTCCTTTCCATTTTGTTTTTGTATCCTTCTAACAAAGAAAAACTATCACTCAATTTCAGCTTGCATTTGCTGCTGGTCTTGTGGCAGTTGGCCAAGTGCACGAACTGCTCTGAATTAAGGAGGCATGGCTCAGGAGAAGTGTTTTCAGCCTAGTAGGTCACCTTTGCCTTGAACAAGCCATCACCTTCTTGCACGCTGCGTTTGTTTGTTTGTTTTCAGGAAAATCTAGCACAGATGCCACTCCCATTAACTTTATCCAGAGAGAAGGAACAAATTGGAAGGAGGACACTCAGAACAGAAACAACATAATAAATCCCTCCTTGTTTATATTTCCCTTCTCCTCACTGAGCCTATTAATAAGAGAAAAAGCAGAAGCATTTTCCAGAGCAGGGTTACTTGATTTGCATTAAGGTGTGCTCAGAAGAAGCTATGCCTCAGCACAGGCTCTAGCAGGCCTGGAAAAAAAACAATACAATGCCGTTATTTTTCTGCAAGGGCTCAGGAGAACTCTAGGGCCTCTGGGATCTTGGAGAGGTCTGCACAATGTTTACTTTGGATTAGCATCTGGTCTGGAGGCTATCATTTGATTAGCCCTACTAGAGTAACAACAGTTGGAGAAAAGGAAAATGCTTTCCAGGTCAGCAGCATTTACTTGGAAAGCCAAGTCCATCCTTCAGCCTCTAGCATTCCTGTAGGTGCTGTTATAGGAAAAACAGGAGAAAACTCAGGGCACCTGAGCTATGTTAAACTAGCCTCTCTAGCATACAAACAGAAAATAAAGAACAAGCTATATATCATACAACAGAGAAGCTAATCAAACTTTAATATTACCCAAAGAGCCTGCCTCTCTCCATTTGCTGTCCTCAGGTCTAAAGGTATTCTCTTTTCTTCCCCCAAAGTGACAAGGATACTTTACAGGAGCCCAGCTGACAGCAAAGGTGATTCATTATTGCCACAAAGCAACAAGGAGATCCTAGAGCTCAGCAAGCTGTTCCAGTTTCCCATCTCTCTCCATCAAAACAAATAAGGGAAAATGAAAAAATCAGCCTCACACACTCACATTCTACTAGCGCCTTTCTCACCCATTCAGCAAACATCCCAAATTTTCCTCCCCAACCCCTCTTAACTCCTCTAGCCCAATTATGAGGAAAATTCATGTGTGATTTACCCATGTATTAAAAATAAATGCTAAATTATAGCTACTGTTGGTGGTTGATTTACCACCACCTTGGCAGTGGTTCCTTTTTTATACTCTCACTTCTCTGACATATACTGTAATTAATACTTCCCCTGTCTAGCAGTTTCCAACATTTTATGTGGAAGGAAAGCTGACAGAAGTTAGAGTGGGCTATCAGACTGACAAACATGCACAGAATCAGAAAAATGGGGTTGGAAGGTACCTCTGGGATCATCTAGTCCCGTCGTAGGTCAAGGAATAGAAAACAGGAGAAAGACCAAGATTACAAGATCCAACAGAGAAAGCAGAAGCAAAATGAGGAACATGACCGTAATGTCTTCACTGCTTCTGTTTGGATAGTTTGCATGCATTATGCATATAGTTAAGAAAAGTTATGCCCATACTGTACCTTTAAACTCCTCTGCTTTTACATTTTTGTTATCTGTTTCAATGGAAATTCCAGTCACTTTATGATCTGCAAGGGGACAAAGAAAAAAAAAAGAAGGCCACAATTCAGCAACAAAGACTATGACTGTCATAGGTACTTCAGCAATAATAACTAGTATTTTTCACCTTCCTTTACACAGGACAGAATGGATGTTGTCTGGTAGAGACCGCACTGGACTGAGTCAGAGAGTCAGAAGAACGTGAGTGGCCATGTGGGTCATGTGGCCTTGAACAATTAATCTTTTCCTCTCCATGCCTTGGAGAAGAATAAGAAATTGTAAAGGGTGTCAGGAAATGCAAGAGAGAAAAACGCATGCGATGAGTTCTATATAAGCAGTAAGTATTGTTTTACAACTGGAAAATGTTTCGATTTACTGTTTGTTATTTTCCATTGCATTCATATGGCAAAGTAGGCAACTAGTTAAAAACTTTGCTTCAGAACAACTGCCTTAGCACTGTACAGACACACGCACATGTTTTCTTTCAAGAGCATCTCAAGTTCCCGTGGGTCCCCTATACTAATTCTAAAGACACAGACATCAGCCTCATGGTCTGTCCCATCTCTCCCCATAAACCAACTGAACAATCGCTACTGAGGGGATGAAGGAGGGCCCCCAGTCAACAATATTCAGAAAGATAGCTTGCTGTAAGACAGTTTAATGTTCTTTTAATTGATACAAACTAGTCTTGCTTTATACCAAAGAGGCTACGTAATATAGCCAGTTTTAACCTTTCATACAGACCCCTTATCCATCCACACAAAATTAATATCTCTAACCACTGCCTAAGATAGGGGCGAGGGCGGGTTGCAAAAAATTTGACAGATTTGCATCCAGTCTTCTTGATCTGAAGATGTGGAAATTTAAACAAACAAGTAAACAATCAAACAAACAAAAACACACACAAGCTCCTGCTTCCTAATATTTGTTTTGATTGCGAATTACTTCTGTTAAAGTATGTACCTCACTTATCACTTGAGTGAATCCATCCTGTCTTTCAGCTACAAGTTCTGACAGCTCCGAGTTTTCATGCTTTTTTATCTGTATGATGATATGGACAAGTTATCTCTTAGTTTTCTGCTGAATGAAGATCATTCTGTGCTCTTCAAGCTTGTCACTGCAGCGGGACTTCTCCCAAGAGCTCTCATGGCCCTCCCACCCAAGCCCAAACTCCAAGTGGATGGACAGCACTGGCTTCTAAAAGGATACAGCTTCACATTGGTAACTTGAAGTATAATTTCCCATGAGCAGGTTACCAAAAAACCCAAATTCAAGCATGCAGTTGCCTGTTGTCTTTACCATGCTTTAATCATGCTGCCACATTATTGTCAGCAAGAAAATAGCTTCAGCAGAGAATGACAGTATAGAGGGAAATACGAAGCAAATACAATGATGCTACCTATGTTCCCCGAGAATACCAAAATAGCAAAGATAATTCAATCTCACTTAATGCTTTCAGATTTTTCTTCCACTCCGCTCCATAGAGAAAAGGGATTATTCTGAGTTTTTTGTTGTTGCTGTCTTCTTAATAAATAAAAAAAAAATCTGCTGAAACCAGAAGAGTGAACCCCACCTCCTGCACTTCGAAGGGAGCAGTTATTAGTACTGTACATACAACAATCTCCATTTTTTATCTGAGTCTCCCTAAGCTTGCTTTTACATTTTATTCTAGGACTTTTTTTTTTCTATTTTAATCTATTAAGCCCTATTTAGGTTTATGGGGAAAAACAGCCTTTTACTTTTATTTGAATCTTGTTGTTTTGGGAACAAGAACAAACATTATCTATTGTTGTACAGAATGTATTTTTATCCACGGATATACCATCTTCCTTCACATTTTTGTGATGGTAGTTGGAAAAGCATTTTTTCCCCCCTGAGTTTCTGACAGTGGGTAATACTTATTTTTATTTAGGTAGGAAGCACTTTTTTTTAAAGGAACCAAGCGTGTGAGAAAGTTACTGAAATGTCAAGGTTCTCTCTAATTGGACACCAAACAGCTCAAACATCTGCACTTTGCAGATATATTACATATATTTTTCCACAGACAGGAAAACCCTCCTCCTCCTTAATACAGAAGTCATGCTGCTTACTGTCATGTCCCAAGTGTCTGTAGTCCAAAATGTGCAATAAGAAATCATGTTTTGTGCCCTCTCAGGCAGGACTGGGGTACTTGCTTCTCACTACAGAGGGTGTCATGAAATCACTTTTTATGCTTTGTATTTGAAGCTTGCAACTGCAGCAGGTCTATGCCTGCCCCTCTGCATCACAGGAACTAAAGAGTGCCTGAAGAGCTTAGTGTGCAACATACCAAGTACAAATCATACCAGACGAATTCAGACTCAGATACCTAAAACTCCCCAACAAATCTCACATACAGGCTTTCCTTCAAGAAATAGAAGGGTCTGAATAGCAACTTCAGATGCTGTAGAGGCACCTGACATGTGAAACCACTAAATATCCTAATCAAGCAGAAAGCCAAAAGAATTCTTTAAAGCTAGAAGACGTTTTCCTTAAAATGCCGTTCTAGAAATGCCTCTGCCAACTTTTCCCACTATGGGGCATAAGCTTTAGCTTTTCATTCACCATATAAAGCGCAGCAATGAATAGATAGCATGTTCCCCTACTATCTATTCATCAAATGCTTTTATAGGCAGAATGATAGACTGAAAAACTCTACTCGTATATGGTAGCAACTTTATCTATTCAGAAGTTAGCCCAGAAAAATCCATGTTCTATCTGGAAATCACTAAAGCAGCTGTGAACTGATACTCTGGTGGCCTGAGCAATTATAAGGAAAAGCATATTAGTCAAATCAAAGGAAACAGCGATGCCTGCAGGAAGTGACATGAGAACAGAGTCCAAACAAAGTTGCGAGTACAAGAGAAAAAGGGAGTTTGGCTTTGCCAAGAACATCAGGTGGCCCAGACCAAAGTGGAGCAGAGATCTCAGAGGACAGCGCAGGGCTAGGAAACCAATGTCCTGAGAACAAAGCAAGAATCAGACAGTTCTCCTACCCAAGCTCCTGGGAATCAAACACACCATTGCTGCAAGCATCCTTCACACATTCACCAAGGTAAGTCATCGTGGGCATGCTTAGGTGCCGATATGAAGTTCTCAGCTGTAAAAATACCTGCCATTAGGTGCTCAAATGATGCCTAGGACCTTGCTGCAGTCACATCATCCTAAAACTTGTATCTTTTTTGGCTCTTCTGTTGCCTTTTTTTTTTTTTTCTTCTTCTCTTAAGAGAAGCATTCCACAGATGGCAGCCAGCGTCAGATAAACAGGCAAGTCATCTAACTTTGGACAGAAATCATCATATTCCTATATGTGAGTGACACTCCCAAAAGCCTAACTCCCCTTCTTCTCAGTAGTTCAAGCTATGGACATGACACCAACAGGCCACCGCCCTGCTCAGTGGTGGGGCTGGCACAATAGGCTGCGCTCCTCCAAAAGTTATCCACAAGATGTCAAAGCCACCACTCTTGCCAGCCTCGTTGCAAACCGACTGGAGATGCAGGGAGACCCTGTCTGTTGGCTCTGCTTTGCTAACTCTAACCTCTGGCAGAGACATCAGGCTTACTGACCGTCTCCACTACCACCAGTGTCTCCAGAGAGTCTGACAGAGCCTGATTTGATATCTGAGGCTGGCAAGTTAGGCATCAAAATGTAGCCCAAAATAACTGCACCCAAGGGACAATAGTTTCATTAAGTAAATACAACATATACACAGCATTAACTTCTTCTAGTTCTTGTCCAAAGTTGGGAGTTTTAATCACACATCATGAGAAAATCAGTTCAACTTATGTCTTTCACTTAGTTGAGTTAAAGACTAATAATAGAACAGGATGCTGCTTTGGGCAGAGCTTATCTGAATGACAAAACAAAACAAAACCAATTCTACCTCCACAACAATCCACAAAAAAAAAAAAGAAAAAAAGAAAAAAAGAAAAAAAAAAGCACACCTTCAGCACCTGGAAACAGATAACAGCCGTTGAAGGAGGCCCATAGAGGCAAAATAAAGAGTCAGTTCAAACCCAGATGTGAAAAGCAAGGTTTTATTTTAATAGATGTTGGATGGCTGCACAGAACACACAATGAGAGCGAAAAGGCACATTTGGCTGGCAAGTTAAAAAAGGGCATACAGCAGGAGAGGAACTTAGGCAAGGGATGGCCAAGAAGCTTTTTATACAACAGCTTCCAACAACAGTTCTGTAGTGTTTTATAAACTGCCAGACTCGAACACAGCACCTTTTAGTCATTCAGACACTGGACTTTCAGACATTCAGAAATGGCAAAGAACAAGCCGGAGGAGCAACACCTTTACTAGAAGTGTGACAAAGTCTAACTCCTAGTTTGAGCAGTGCCTTTTCCATCACCTTATTTGCCAATTATTTCATGAAAAAATAGGCAGTGCAACTCAGCTCGTGCACACTGATGTCCAACAACTTCTCCCATCCCTTCTTTCCCACAAGCCCTCACTGAACTCCTGACAAAATTCTTTTTTATACAGAAATGGCTAGGGGTTTTTTGAGTGTGGAAGGAGGGAAGAGCAGATAAATCCATTTTATTTCTCTTCTGTAAGAGCAGGTATTCTAGCTCTACTGCTGGGTAATCCCCCCCCACCTCAACCCCAAGACACTTTTCCTTCTTGCATCCAGGCTGGGACCTTGCCCGGTGGAATAACCTCCCACTCCATTTGCTCTCCTGACCAATGCTATGAATTTGAAGCCGTTAAAAAGGACGGCATCCAGATGACGGGGTCATTAAAAATAAAATCTACTCTTTTATTAAAGAGCCTGGAATTAGGAGCGAAAGCTGTCAAACTTGAACCATTCATCTACAGATATCCAAGTGAGACAAAGCAATCACATTTTAGGATAACATGTCTGCAGCTGCCTGTCACAACAAAGCAAGGCACCAACCCAGCACGGTACTTTAGAGGAATTTCTCCCAACAGAACATATGACAAAAGTAGTAAATTCCTTGAGGGGAAAAAAAAAAGATAAAAGGCATTGAGAAGTGTATTTTCATCTAC